TAGTATCGGCCTTGATGCCGGGCCAGATGACACGTTGCGTGAGGAGGTGCTGGGAGGCCCGCACACCTGGGTGGCTGAGACCATGGATGCGGTCGAAGACAGCGCGGCGGTGAACGTGAGGCACGAACGGTCTAGGCTGCCCACAGGACATATTACACCACAACTTGATATTCGTGCCGGGAACAGGGAGTTCTTGAAGGGCGAGACCTGAGGGAGATGTCTTGTATGCTGCAAGGTCTTCGTCGTTCTCTTGAGCCATGGCGAGCTGTCCGTAATCCATGGGTGGAGAAAAGGGAAGAATGCTGGATATACAACGAGAGTGGGTGTCAGCGATCTCATTGTGGCTGCCTTCTATGTGTTGGATGTCGCTGGTGAACTCCGAGATGTAAGCCAAGTGGCGAAGAACACGATGTATATGTGACTGGGAGGCTGAAGTGAAGGTGTGGAAGAGGGGCTTGTGATCGGTGAAGATGGAGAACTGACGGGCCTCGAGGAAGTGCTGGAAATGCTTAACAGCAAGGCATACGGCCAGGAGTTCTCGATTGAAGGCGCTGTACTTGAGGTGGGGTGGTAGAAGCAGCTGTGAGAAGAAGGCAATGGGCATGAGAATTCCGTTGATCTCCTGTTGTAAGACGGCGCCCACGGCAGTAGAAGAAGCATCTGTTGTGAGAGTGGTCCGGGCGTTGGGTGCAGGGTGAACCAGGAGGGTAAGGCGTGTGATGTGCTGCTTGATAGTGTTGAATGCCGTAACAGCCTCTTGAGTCCAAATGAGAGGCTTGTGAGACGTCTTGGGGAGTCCCTTGAGAAGATCATAGAGGGGGATGAGGACAGTAGCAGCGCGGGCCATGAAGCGGTGGTAGTAATTGATTAAACCCAGGAATTCTCGGAGTTTCTCCGCCGTTTCAGGTTTGGGGAACTCCCTAATGGCAGTTACCTTCTGTGGTAGGGGTTGGATGCCACTCGGCGAGAATCTGTGCAAGTCGATGGAGGAGGCTCCGAAGACGCACTTGGCAGGGTGAACTTTCATGTTGTTCTGCAGGCGTTGGAGAAGGAGCTGTAGGTGGTGATGATGCTTGGCAGGCGACGGAGATGCGACGAGAATGTCGTCTAGTATGTAGACAGTGACAAAATCGAGGTCGCGAAGCAAGTGGTCCATGTACCTCTGGAAGGTCTGGGCTGCATTGCGTAGACCAAAACTCATGAAGGCATACTCGAAGAGACCGAACGGAGTGGTGAGGGCTGTCTTCTGGGTATCTACAGGTGCTACAGGGATCTGGTGGAAGGCATGCTGCAAGTCGATCTTCGAGAAGATGGTCTTGCCATGGAGTTTGTTGTGGAAGTCCTGGACATGCGGGATAGGGTACCTGTCAGGTTTGGTGACGAGGTTCAGAGCTCTGAAGTCACCACATACCCTCCAGTCGTTGGATAATGGCTTTGGAACCATGTGAAGGGGCGATGCCCAGGGACTCTTTGAGGGTCGAATGATGCCGTCTTGCAGGAGTCTGTTGAATTCCGACTTGGCTGTGTTCAGGAGCTCAGGGCGAAGGTGGCGAGGGCATGAGAAGACTGGAGATCCATTACTTTCGATGTGGTGGAAAATTCCCGACGTAGGTGGTGGTGGTGGAGAGACTCAGGGTGAGAAAAGTTCCTTGAACTCGTTGGACGGCGAGAGGCAGGTGAGTGTCGGTGTCTGCGGCATATGTACCCCGGATCTTGTGTGCTGTAGGCTCATGGATGAGGCAGAGGTTGCTTGGGTTGACGCCGAGCTTATGGAAGGTGAGGAAGTCGAAGCCAAGGATGGGTTGAGAGACGTCTGCGACCACGAATGACCAGCGCAGAGTCTTGGGAAGACCGAGGTCTAAGGCAAGGATGTGTGCGCCGTAGGAGGCGATGGGGATACCGTTGGCAGCAAACAAGTCGTAAGAGGGTTGCTTTTATATGTCTTGCAGTGAGGGAGAGATGATGCTGACCGATGAACCTGTGTCGACGAGGAATTTTCTGCCAGAGGTGCAGTTGGTGATGTGCAGTAGTAAGATGCCTGAAGTGATGGGGGCTGTGGCGTCTACCAATCCCCGTTGATGCCATTTCCCGAGTAGTTGCAGGGGGACTCACACTGTCTAGCATCGGCACCGAAACATCTGTGGTACCAGCAGAGGGTAGGTCCGCTGTGCTGGGAGCTGGCGGCGGTTTCCGGGGCAGGAAGAAGACGACGGGGTTTGTAGGACGCGATGTGTGGGGCAGGAACAGGCCCAGCAGCAGGCGTGGAGGAGCAGAGCTGCTCAATGGTGTCCATCCTGCGGTGTAGAGACTGCAGCAGATTCCTGGTGTCTTGTGAGGTGTTGCTCGACTGAGGAGTGTTGATCCGGTTTACAAGATCGGAGGTAAGTAATGGTGTGGCCGTTGGGTTGTCCGCGGCGGCGACGCGCGCAGCAGCGCAGTCATTGAATATTCTGTCTGCCGAGGTTGCGTATATATCCGGTGTCGTAGAGTAATCTACTGCGGACAGAGTGATGCGAACTTGTGTGGGGAGCTTCTGTGCGTGAAGCTGGCGCAGGACAGTGTCGGGAAGCCTGTTCGTGTGCCGGGAGTTCAGTCTACACATCTCGTCCCAGAGACGTGCAGGCGTTGAGTTGCCGAGGGAGACAGAGGATAGGTTTTGCAGGAGACTGGTGTGGGACCACTGGTAAAGGTTTTGCAGGAGACTGGTGTGGGGCCACTGGTAACGCATCTTTAGAGCATCCCGCAGGGCAGCGAATTTGTTATCAGCTGGAGGGTTGGTAATGGTCTCTGAGATTTGCGTGGCGACTTCCGTGGGCAAGGTACAGAGCAGGGCGACGTACTTTTGCTCGTCATTAGCCTCTGAGCCGCTGGGGGCTGCCTCCACATGAATTAATCAGTCCTCGATGTTGTGGTTGAAGGTTGGTAGAGAGATTCGTTTGCCGTCCATCCTTGCGAGAGTGCATCACACCTGTTAGGTAAGGTTGAGGGATGGGTGCTTGCTCCGACCACCTTCCGTGTTCACAATCTCCTGGAAGGGAGGTGAACAGTTACAGAGGGGACTTCAGGACGAATACACTTTTTGAGGGTGCAGGTCCCTGGGCCAGAGCGAAAAAAAACATAAGAAAAATAGGAGGAGTAGGCAAAAGAGCTCAAACCACATCTGGTATATCGCACAATAGTTGCTCTCTAGCTGTGATGTGGGTCACTCACACCACCAATGGGGAGAACAAACTAATGAGTTATAAACCTAACGGTCGTGAGATGGTGTCAGCGCTGTAGTGGTGGAGTGGCAGGGGGTCCAGGCAGGGCAGTTGGCCCACAATGGCAGCAGACAGGGCGGTCCTCCCAGCTCCAGGAGTAAGGCAGCAGAGGGAGTGTGGTGTTCACAGCTCCAGGGGTCACCAATTGTAGTGTACTGTATGGGGCCAGTTGTCAAATTCTCTTTGCTTGTCTATTATCTCTTTGTATGGGCTCACATACGTACGTACAGTCGGAAACTATAATCTCTAGCCCATCTGGGTCGGTGCTGGAGGTTAGTACAGTGTCCTTTCTGGACGGGGGCCCACTCTAACTATCACGAGGCAACACAACCACGAACACACAGTCCTCGTGATAGTTAGAGCGGGCCCCCATTCAGAAAGGACGTTGTACTAACCTCCAGCACCGACCCAGGTGGGCTAGAGATTATGGTTTCCGACTGTACATGTAAGATATCTCACACTCAGGATGGAGGTAGAATTGACTCACTGTATATATATTGTATGTACAGTGCAGTGCTGAGGAGTTGCTGTGTGGTGAGGAGCTTTCTGAGGGAGCTGGTTGGTGAGGCACTGTTGAGAGGTCTTGCTGGTTCAGGAGAGTAGAGTAGAATGAATTCCGTAGCCAGGCCTACGCATATTTATACGGCTGCTCAGGATCAGAGACGCGAGGTGTGAATTGTGCTGGGCCAATCACCGTGCAGTACGCGCGAGGCGGATGGCGCTCTGATCCTGGGCGGAAGGTGAAGGTCCAAACTAGGTCAGCGATTGTACCCCTACGTGCCCATACCTGAAACTTAGTCTGTCGACGTCGCTGGCAGTAAGCTGATTGGCTGGTAAGCGAACGGTGGGTGATCAGTCAGCAGTTGTAGGGGAGAGTATTCACTACAACCCAAACATTTTCTGAAGGTCTCACCATATAGAACAAGAAAATTTAAACCTCTGCTTTAAAATAGTCATGTACACAAATTACACCCCAGAGCCTATACTGTAGGGATGGGGATGTTATTATTTACACTGCTGTCACCATTTTATAAGGTGTGGGTTTTGAAGATTACTGCTCTCTTACAATTTTATATAGGCTGAATTTATATTATTTTGTATTCAATTTATTTACTTTTCTCCTTTCTTTCCTAACACAATTTACACTACAGGTAAAGATAGATGAAGCTTTCAACATATACTCAATATATCTTGAATGCTTCAGCTGACGGTAGGTATATCTGACTATGGCTACTAATACAGGTTATAGCATAACTTAAAATTTACATTACAGGAGGACACTTCAGGCAGAGAGAGAAAATGAATGGTACCTCTCGCTAGAAAAAACAAGTCTCTCTCTAGGGGTAACTCATTAGTTCCACACAGTTTTGTGGACGGTGGAGTGTAATATAAATCCATAGGTATAAATATAATATTGGTACAACTGTGACCGTAACAATACTAATTTTCTTTTGGTAACGGGTGGTGGGGGTAGGGGCTATAAACATGACCTTAGGTCAAACAATGAGAGTACAGCACAATATACTGTATAAATTTTTCCAATTGTTACTCTGACGAGTCTTGCATACCAGGATTCTTCATCTTCTGAATCCACCGTTTCTTATTTCCATTGATCCTGGGTAAATAAATTCCAGCAAAGTAATTTCATTATGTATTGGCTAAACAGTATCTAGAACATGCATTTATTATATGGTTCATACTAGAAGATAAAGAATTTTGTCGAAATTAACTGTGTTACAGAGACAGTGATAATGGTGCTAACAGTGATGTTGGTGTGCTTACTAGTGGAGACATGCTGGAAGCCATTCAGTAATGACCCTGAGCACAGGGAATCTGTGGACATCAATGGAGGCACTACAGGTTCATCTACCACCCCAAGAGACCCTCTGGTATACACTGAGGCTCCACCATCGTATGAGGAAATACTTGCCCAGGAACAGTTGGAGCCACCCTCTGGTAACGCCAGTGATGACCTGGCATCCACGAAGTGTGACAACGTCACCCTCTACCACCTTCACACATCCATACTTGACATGCCAGACTCACCTGAGTCAGCCACATCAAACCAGCATATTTCTCTTCCCAGGCGGTATTCTCCATTCATCACAGAAACAAGGTACTCATACACCACAGCCAATGAGCTGCAGCTCTCAGTGGATAGGCTACCCAGTTACGAGGAAGCAGCGATAACGCTGCAGCCCCTGGACTCACCGCAGCATCAACAAAACACAACCAATGACGATGACCTGATGCTTTTTATGTAACATGAATCATTGATTGATCTAGCTGCAAGTATGTGTGTAAAATAATTTTTTGTCACATTTCTTGACTTCCATGTGTGAAATAAGTAAAAAAAATGACAATGTAAATATTGCACCTTATTTACCAATACGTATAAATATTTAAAGATTTATGATAATTAAATTCATTAATGTTATACAGTATAATGATTTATGATTGGAAAATTCATTACAAAATAGCTTACCCCAACCTAACATAAGAATAGCACAGTGAAATCCTGCACTACAATAAAATACAATACAAGTGCAGTCCCGGACATTTACGCCTTAGGTACTCACCCACAAATGTGAACCCCGCGAATGTGAGACAGCCTTAAAACATGGCTCGCTCTTCTCCTCTTAGGTAATGTTTGTTCTATCTGGAATTTTCTTCAAAATAATCCAGTCTCATCCACATTAAACACCTGTTCTGGCAGGTAACCCCCCTCAGTGATGATGTTTGTGTCTCTGAAAGTTTGCAAGTTGAACGTTCTTTAGTAGAGGAGCCCCTGTACAGTATAGTATATTTTTATATTACAGGTTCTGATTATTTTCGACTTTTCAAATACTGTACAGAATTGGCATTCAATATTAATAAATACTGTATGTAAAATCTTGAATACTGTAACTATAATAATAAAATTATACAAAATGTTAAGTTTGACTTAATTTATGCTGACATACCTGGTATGTGGTTATCTATGCTAGGCAAGACCTTAGAGCCAGCCAGGCGAGGGTACAGAGAGAGGATGTTTTGTTTTCTACGTTTTCCCACCCTTCTACCCTTACCCGCAACACAAGGCATGGTTCAAAACTCTCATATCACTGTCATGAATAAATTTAATAACTGTGATTCATGAGAAATTAACACAGCTGCATGAAAATGTGTGGGGAATGTAGATCAACATTATATCCTGGGTCCTTTAAACACAAAAGGGAAACTGGTGTAGTGACCTTGGAGTGCAGTCTACATAGTTGCCAGATTGCACTGACATTGCCAAATGTATGTCTTGAGTGACTAGTGTCATGGTCACAATGGCACTGCTGGTCTGTATGAAACCTGATGATTCATATTATGCTCCACGCATGCAAAACATGTGGATAACTGGTGAGTTATCACTTGGAAGAAACGCGTTTTCCCTGGCTTAGGTGTCGTCCATTTTCTCTGACTTCCTGAAACCAACCTCTCTGTAAAGTAAATTTGAATGTGAGAGAGAATACCATTGTTTTGAGTCAACTTAGATATGTCTAATTACAGTTAAAGCATTCAAGATCCTTTGTGAGTGATGTTGAAAGCTTCAACTGTCTTATTGTTAGTAACACTTGTCAAGTAAGAGAGTGTCGAGTCTGCCAGTATGAATGGCATCTCATGATGTCGTCCTTGGGGATAGCCATGAGTTCCCAATTGCTACTGAAGTTAGATTATTTTGATTCCCAAACCTCAGAGAAACAATATTTGCAGTTTGATTATTGTCAGTTGTCTATTTAAGAAAGTCATTAATCTCCTGAAAAGAATATGTCACATCCTTATCTCTAACATCTCAACGTATACCCAAAGAGGCTCCTTGTCTAGAAATCCCGCTGATGTTGTGAGAATGACGTTAACAGTGTGTGTATTTGATGCCTATTTCACTTTTTCCTGGCAAGCTCAATCGCTGATTAGTTGATAAAAATAGAAGTAAGAAATTCACCTGACCCATGGCATTGATTTTCATAGTTAAATGTACAGCAACTGAGTTGAATGTAATTTCTGTCATTGCGTGATTTGCCTTTCTGGCATGTGCAGCGCACAGGCCTGAGTTGCCAGTTGGCCGTATATAAACTTGTGCACGAGGGGCAGTGTCACATCTCTGACGCTGCTCCATCATTATCTCAGGTATGTGTACGTTCTCACTCCCGCCACATTAAGTCAGTTTAACTTAGTGAATTTTGTGAATATCAGTGTTCATGTTGTAACAGTGAAATTGTCATTTACCCAGTGAAAGAATTGATGTAATGTAAATATCGTCTGTCGTTGCTAGACGAAAGATTGTTTGTGATCGAGTTATTTTTCACATCTCTGACACTGAGCATCATATCTCAGGCACAGGGTGGGTGTTAGCTGAATACCCAGCAGTATACCAGCTCGCTGTCTTGTAGGATAACGATTGAATTGAGAGAGTCTCGCACCCTGGGAACTAAGCCTGCGGGATGAGCTCCCTCTCAGTGTGTCGTACTGCAACCGACCTAACAACACTCTTCATTAGTTGGTGTGACACCAGTGTGACACCCTGGTGTATTCCTCACAGTTACAATATAGGGGCCAAAGTATTATTGTTGTACCTGATTGGGGGATAACTAGCAGAAATATAGTTATCCCATGTTGAGTATTGAACCCATGATTATGGAGGTTACCAGGTTGACAGTCCCTAATCTGAAATCCTTGGGGCCAGATGCATTTCAGATTTCGGAATTTTTCGGATTTAAAAAAAAAACTTTCGGTTTTCAGAGGTTTTCGGTTTCAGAATTTCGGATAAGGGGTTGTCAACCTGTAATAAAGTTTGTTATGGGTTGTGAGTACATTTCATATGTACTACCAACTGAGGTACCATATGTAAGCTTGTCATGTGTGTGTTCTTTTAAATGTACAACCAGTAATTATGTAAGAAGCAAGAGTATGTAATTGGAATTTCAGATGAGTAAAGCCAAGGAGTTGATCCTTGTAGTTGTATGTTAATGACATCTTGAACCAAATTTAATTTCATATTAATAAACCATTTTTAGAGTATGTTAGGGGTATCATTTTCCCTCAGTATCTACCTTTATTCTTGTCCAATAGCTTGATACTAGAATTACAGAACCCATGTGCCCAAACCCTCACCATGCTACTAAAGGTCAGAGGTTATGGAGTAACTATAGGAAATGAAATAATTAGACAGAACTAATGGAGAACAAGAAAGAAAAAAGTAAAGCCGCCCCCATCCTTATACTGTACAATACTAGCATTCATACGCAAACATAAATTTTTTATTTTAATTTCTTATTTCATATGCAAATCTGCATATGAAATATCCTGAAGTGATAATTTAGATCATGCACAATTTTGCTTATGAAAACCCCAAGAGTGTTAACCTAAGATACCAATTCATGTACGTAGTGTCCTGATGGCTGGGTACACACGCACACAGTGGAGATCATAGCTCAAGTTTTATGGGAGGCCAAGTTGCCCCCAACCCCTACTAAAATAAAGTATAATGTAAGGTAATACTATACTGTACTGTTTTGGGACCATAGCCTTGGTTGGGTCAGCCCCATGTACTGTACTGTACTGTACTAATAATATTATGCTAGTTTAAACTCAAAATCAGTCATTAGCATTTTATACAGCAAATTATCCAATTTACAGTACAGTATACGTAAATAAAAATCAAACCTTTTAATAATAATAAAAGCTACTACTTAGGTTTTGTCTTAGAACTCTCCAACTACACAGGCTAATGCACATACAGTAGCTCCATCTCCCACCAAGGCTCTAGAAGATGTTGCTGCTGGTGACACAAAAAGCTTGGAGTTGTGGCAGGAAATACAAAATACAAATAGCTGACCTAGTTTACAGGCAGTGTGCTCATGTAACAAGCTGATATGTTGCTTCCTAACTTAAAGAATAACTGGTGACTCTTTAATAGTTCTGTTAGGAACTTGACTGTGATGGGAAGTAAAACTAATACATCCAGTCACTTACCACTAAGGGTTTACTTTGTCCTACAACTCATGGATTTAGTGCTATAATATGCAAGTCACTTATGAGGGGCATCCAGTCATAAAAGGAAATAAAAAAACAATTTAAATAAATTATTTTTATAAAATTTTACAAAATGTAACAAGATTGAGAAGGTACAAAAAGGAAGCTTCACTTCCATTAGTACAATCAATATAAAAAGCATGAAATTATTGACATGAACTCTAATATACCTTCAAGTTTCATCTGCCTAATTAATACCACCTCCCATTTCTTTAAGTGGTAGATTGAAAAAAAATGGAGGATTGAATCCTTAATTTCAATTTAAGATCAAGAGGTAAGCAGCTGGCTCATAATTTAAAGTGGCAGGTGCTATTAAAGTAGCCTTTTCGACAATATCTGAATACAGTACTGTACAGATATATAAAATCTAGAAGAAATGGTTCTCCTAACTAAATGGATGCTGCCAAAAATCCAAGCCAACCATGCCTGTGTTAAATAATACAGTTATTCCTTTGATCCAGTCATCATAGAAAATGAGGTTTCTGTGATTCTTTCCCCATTGTGCCAAATCTCATGATCAATATACTATAAAGAGATGAATGGAAAAAATACCAAGCCAACTGCCCACTTATTAACCATATAATGGGATTTTAGGATTCAATTTCATCTATAGCAATGAAGTTTGCTGATTACTCATGATATATAAAAGCCAAGCAGATCTTGGGAGCAAGAATCAGAATACAACTGTACTGAACAAGAAAAATGACCCTCAAATGCTGGGAAGTTATAGACCAGTGGTTCCCAACCTCAGGTCGCGACCCAAATCAGGGTCACGGGGTGTCCTCCGTAGGGTCGTGAGGAGCCTTCAGACAATTTAAAAATATAGTACTTATCATAGTCAAACAAAGTTTTGTTTAACATTCAAGCTATATAATATATTATATGTCTGAGGGTCACGACACTGTATTGTTGGGAAACTTAGGGTTGCAGCCAAAAAAGGTTGGGAACCACTGTAAACATAAACAGTACTGTACTGTATTTTGTCGACTCAGTAACTACAGTACAACTAAGAAAATAACTACAGTGCTGTATAATCAGACTCAACCCATCACCACATACTAAGTTATTTCATCTCCTAATCATCACTTTGAGATGAATATTTAAAAGAAGACTAAGTCTGCTTTACAAGAATGGAGATAATTTTCATATCTGTGGATAATTAATCAAAAAAGAATCTAGAATTGTGAGAGTCAAAACCCAAGAAGCGCAGTCTGGTTGTTTCAATTTAATGATCATAATATTCATAGGAAATAAAGTACAGTACATAATCTTTAGTCCAAAAATCCAAAATGCATATGTAAACATAAAAACTCAAATACACGAAATTCAAAATTTCAGCCATACAACACATGAGTTTCCAAAGATTGTTAGCACCTTTCTCAAAGTTGTGATTTTATGTGGATGCAGTAGGCTCTCACCAATAACGTTTAATAGGTGCCTGAAAAACACCGTTATTAGCGAAAACGTTATTTGTGTGACATTAAAATACATGTAAAAAGGGTTTATTGGTGCTGCCGCCACAAGAATTTCACCCATTTTTTCCCCTTGAAGCCCCCCTAACACATTTTGTTTGCTGAAATAAAAAGAATTGTTATTCAATCATCAAAATAAAGAGTTTGAGTAACATAACACTTAGCTTGGGGGAGTTTTTGAGGTGCTTGGCGTGATGGTTGTTCCGTATCTGAGGGCCGCTAACACTTGCACTGTCTTTCATTCTACAAGCTAACCATTTCACAAGAATTTGCTGTTATCACTAACAACCTGTTTCTATTGCCTTTATCATTCATAGCTTGCCTCGCATTTCCATCACTACCGAAATATTTTTAGCCAGCGCAATACTTTTCTTGGTCTCCTCTAAGTTCCTCTTAATATTTCGCACTGTAGACTCAGGACAGTTCAATTTCCTCACTTTAAAAGTTCCCAGTCATTCAGGTGGCAAATCACTCCCTCCACCACCTCCCCTAGCCCCCACAGGCAAAAATGCGAAAGCCATTATTGATCACCGACCCTAACAACCACTGGTTATAGAGGCGAAAATCTCACACGTGGGCGCAGCGTTGTATTCCACTGAGCGTGTGTGAGAGTGAGGCGGAGCGGACAACTACGTCATCAACATGGCGGCAAACAACCGCTATCATTGATGCGCTCGGACGCTTCCCGCGAAATTTCCATTATTCAAGAGAATCCAGACGTTATTATCGAAAATGGGTATCTATTGTTACTTACCGTTATTGTCGAAAACGAATTGTGGAAGTCGTTATTGGTGAGAGCCTACTGTAGTAAGCTTTGAACAACTATAATATTTTGGGTAATATTATGGTATTATTGCATTTTCGCACCCGACATTCCTACGCCTAATCTATTATCATATTCAAATAAAACGTCTAATTATAAGATAAGTTTCTTCTATTACATTACCGTCGCAAATGTATAATAACGGAGATTGCGTATCCAAAATTTTCTCTATTTTCTTCCATTAATCTCACCTCCCACACTGCGTGTCTCCTTCATAAATCACCACGCGCATGCGTTCCCGTACACGTCACGCGGCCAATCAAAAGCTTTTTTTTTTTCAACCAATTAAAATTATTTGTGGTTTAATTTGCATTATTTTTTGCCCAATCAAATTCTTTTTTTATTTTGGGTCTCATATTTCGAAACTCAAATTCATTTCCGACCATGGAAGTCTGCGATGGGTGTCACTTCAATTATGTGGAGCTGATTGCGAGTTTTTGGGGAAAAACGAAGATTCTATACCATTTTTTCGATCTCACGGTGTTCTCTCGACCTCAGTAGTGTCCTAAATGCAAGAAAGAATGTAAATATCGTCACGACCAACATACGGTATGTGGCATTGTGGTAACTCAAACGAGAACCAGGCCAATAAGGTAAGAAATAAGCGATTCTATCATATGGTGAGTCAGAGAGGTTAGGTGCTTTTTTGTGTATTTTGTCTTTGCTTAGCCAATATTTTTTTTCGGAAAATGTCCCACGAAAAAAATAGAAAAAAATAACGGTCATAAACACACACAAATACACTAGAAAAATATATTTTTTACTTTCTAACAGAGTTGGGTGTGCTTATACAAATTTACCAATATTATCAGTTAAAATAAAGAAAAATATACATTTCTGACAAATTTTGTTATTGTTTATAGTTTTTTCTCCTCCTTATACAGTGGGGTATGCTATAACAAACGGATCCTACTACGAATATTCCTATAACGAACGGTTTTACCTATAAAATTGAGAATGCTATAACGAATGAAACTCCTACAACAAACATTACAGTATTTAAAAAAAAAATTTTTTTTTTTTTTTTTACTAATTTATTGTTTTTTTATTACAAATATTAATGATATTCTTTATTTCAGGGGTTTAGATGCATATTTATGCACTTTTTTACAATTTTTACAATTTCATACTATATTTTTCAGTGTTAAGTGGTTGTATTTGGGGGCCTGGAACGGATTAATCCTATAACGAACGAATGCTATAACGAACAAGGTTCTAGAACCAATTAGATTCGTTATAGCATACCCCACTGTATAAGACTGAATATATAAGTACTAGGCGGTAGCAACTTCTATATATTAACCTGGACAGTTTTAACCACATACAGTGAGTCAATCATGATGTAACATGATAATAAATAAACAAAACACTTGAATTTGTACTTACCAGAAACAATGTTGAGTACTGCAGGAGGTGGTGAGGTGAGGTTGTGGGATCAAGTTTAATGTTCAATGTAATTCCCTTATGGAATCTTTTATCACCACTGTTTTCTCTTGAACTTGATGGCCCTTTACACTCATCTTGAATAAGGCTACACAACAACACAGACTCATAACTGAGCACAAACTGGGGAAAGATTTCAAACTGAGCAGTGACATTGTTGTTGTGGCTGCTATCAACTGGTGTGGTGAGCTGCCCGGCAGCCATCTTGTTGCTACCACCAGAATTCACACGAAATAAATAGTATAATTTCGGTGAAATTTTTTGCTCTGTACCACGATATTTTCTTTTGAAAATCCTAATAAATTAACCAAAATTCCATAAGGGTGAATAAAGTCCTAAGCACAGAAGATTAACTGAACACAAGCTGGAGAAAGAATTCTATCTGAGCAGCTCCATTGTTGTGATTAATGCTGGCAACTGGAGGCAGGGCTGTCGGAATTTCCGACTCTTGTTTATCGAACACGCTGATTGGTTCAAATCCGGTACGTCGTCTGTTAATCGGTAAATTGATGACGTAGTCAGTAAGCCGTGACGTCACTGCTCCGACTGTCGGTAAATTACCGACTTTAGGAAATATGCTTTTTCTTGGCAAAAATACCATATAGAATACACAGAAATAAATTGTAGATGTATTTAATTACCTTACCTACATTTTACTAGCAATATTTTAGCAGAATTAATTTTTTTTATGTATTGTCAAAATAAAATTGTTGGAATGTTTTGGTTATTTTTTTATTCAGTATTATCGAAAAGTAATACAAATTACAATTGATAAAATACAAATCTAATGTGATCTCATATAACACTCTGAATGGTGCATAATGCAGTGTTTATTATTCAGAAATTTATAAAATTAATGACAGGAACAATGAAATTCACTGAGTATGAGGACTACTCTAATATAATTACTGTATCTAGGATCTTCGGTACCCCTCACCCCACATTATATTATAGAAAATAGTAATATTACGTCATGATCTCGCAACCAATCACAACACGAGCAGTTGAACCAATCAGCGTGTTCGGTAAAGAAGTCAGAAATCCCGTCAGCCCTGCTGGGAGGTGAATTGCCTTCCAACTGCCTTGTGGCCACCACAGATGCATCAGCACAAAATATTTTTTACTATTTTCGTAAAAATTTTGATTAAAAACTGCAAATTTACTCTCAGAATTTTGAAGATTTCCAAATTCTAGGTACAGCAGCTGAATTCTAGATCATAAACCTATAAGTCTCCTGAAATATTAGATGTATAAGAAGGAATTTACCAATATTATACAGTACAGTACAGTTTTCATTTTGGATCTGATATTGGTACAGTACAAAGCATGTGAGAAGTAATTAATTTTATCATTCCACGTACATAAAAAGTGGAGTTTTCACAATATCTATCATGCAACACTTGTAGTACAGTAAATTATATTAAATATGCATCCCATACTTTTAGGCAAGAAGACCACTGGATGTTAAAGAATAATGGAGCAAAATACATAAATCAATAATCTCCATAAGCTTTGTGCAGTACTAAGAAATATTTCATATACAAAGTTCACACTCCATGGTTACTGTACATAGACTGTATATGAAATGCTATATAAATAAACATTTATTGTACAAATACAGTACAGTACACTAAGATGGGGCAGAGATACACCACACACATTACAGTATCAAAATATTATATTTTCTTCCTTTATAATACACAGAACTGTCACTTAAAGAAATTTTTGTCAAACTTAAGTCACAATTTATCAAAAATTATTGTTTCAATTTCACTACTTTTATCACGTCTTAAATACCAATGATGTTAATGGTATTTATAGTACAGTACAGTGCACACTCATCACTTTCTCGGAGTGTGAATAAGACCAGCAGACAACAAATAGTCATATATTTTTCTTATCTTATTAACATCTATTTTGATGAGGGTTCTAGCCTGTGCTAATCTTAAGCCATTCAACTTCCGACATTCTTCAACAAATAATGACTTGAACCTGAGAAAATCTTCGGGTACTAAACGGAGTTCTGAAGCAATTTGTTTTTCAATGTCACTGAGATTTTCATAACCTGGTTTCCCAGATATATTGAGAGGGATGCTGACTCTACGAGAAGAACTTGGGATAACTGTATCGAGGTTTGTGACATTCTTATTCAAAATATTCCACTTTATGTCAATTCCATCATTTTCTGAAACTACAAGATTTCGCCTTTCCCTTAAATTTATCTCTCGGTTTTTTTTCAGTGTTTCATATGTCATTATACCCATTTGTTTTGAGATTCCATTGGATCTGTATTCCATTAAATCACTGATCTGCCGTTTCAATTCAGCTTCACATTTCAAACCTTCTAATAACAAGTTAATTTCCATAAAACCAATAATACTAAAAAATTTGGGAAGAACATCACCAAAGCTCTGTGGGACACATCGTCGATATCGGTTGAGTCTTATAATAGTTTTACTCGCTGCTATCAAACCATGATTTCTTATGAGCCTTTTTCGTCTATACCTTTCTCCCAGTCTTCTTCGATACATATCCAGAAGGGCAACCTGTAGTTCTGTGCCTAGAGAAGGCTTTTCATCCTCTTCAAATAGCATGAAGTCTAAATCTTGAATATCCACTTCAGCATTATTATCATATTCTGTATCAAAGTCTCCTCTAGCAGCATTATACCCCGCCATATCACGACTTCCAGCTGTTCCTGGGAGTGGTCGTGGTGGATCATCTATGCCGCCTGTATAAACAACAGGTTGTGGATGTACAATATCAATTGACTGTCTTTCTTGCAATTGTGGTAATTCTGGATGAGCATTTTCAATATAATATTTTATATAATGAGACTTGCACTGTTCTGCAGACTTGTCTGGAACATGGTAGCTCACTTCCTGCCAATTCCCAATACCACAATCATTTATTGCATTTATCAACATACTTTCTTCCTTTGCTTGCCAACTAGGCTCAAAAAGGCTATAGTCAGATCTTATAACCAGATATGAATGGTCATTTTTGTGCACCCCAAACTCTGCTCCTTTAGCAAAACATGGCACACATATAACAACATTATCATTGTCTCTAGACTTCTCACACTGCATACATTGTATGTAAGGTTCCTTGGCAACACCAAAACAGTGCTTGCAATTAACTGGAGAATCAACAAATGGGTCTAACAGTCCTCCTCTCTCCATACCAGCTTCCCACAGGGCATCCAAACCTGAAATATATCAAAAGGGCCCTTAGAGGACAAATTCAGAAGATATGGAAGGAACACATCATGCTTTAACATATACAGTCCCCTTCACTGGTGCATTTACCGGCACTCAACATATAAGCATTCCACAAATAATTTTCTTTAATATATTTGTTTTAATATTGTATAAATTTAATTCCACAGTATGTTTACTATTGCGAGTTTCCTTTTGTCGAACGTGAACAAACACAGCACTGCCACACTGCACAAAACCTGACGAGCCCTTGTAAATGCACTAGTGAAGGGGACTGTACATATACATAAGTTAACCTTACATTAATAAACAGAATGTATAAGTTCCCTCAGCCAATTAATGTACAGTTCATGGATATGTGCAGAGTTGTAAAAAGTACCAGACTTTATTTCTTAAGTAAAAGTATTGTTACATTGGCAAAATGTTATTCAAATAGAAGTAAAAGTATCCAAAGATCAATGTACTCAAGTACAGTACAAGGGGTAGAAGTAAAAAAAGTACCGCATTCATAAAGTATTCAAGTACAGAAATAAAAGACATATAGCATTATACATGTTTATTTGCAAATATTTCTATTGAGATTAATCATTAATTGATTCTCAAAATTAAGGCTGTCCAAACAGGATCTTTTAGGCCTAAATATAAACCCAGCATGACCTACTGAAAGAGAATACCTTCAGCTGCCCTTCTCCCTACAATCCATCGCAGGGATAGTGAACAGGCTAAAAATATATCCATCCAACACTATGATCACTTTCTTCCTTATCCATACAAGTATCATCGACGTGAACTTATGGTCTGCAGACATAATGTTGGTCTCTGCTCACATTAGGTTAGGATACAGACCTATCTGGCATGTACCTGAGGTGGGGGATGACCTGCAATTCTCTTCTTGTAAACTCTGTAACTGTCCCAACACTTAACACCCTTCAACACTACTGTATTGCCTTGACTGCCCCACAGTCAAGGACCCCCTACCACAAGACAAGTCACTAATCACTATATGTCACCACCAACTTATTCAGAATAATTTAGATTTAATTCTTGTACACTACCCATGTTTTGGTGGGTCCTAACTCCCATTGTCCTTAAATCATATCAACATTGTCTCCATACCACAAGTCACAGCGTGTCCTGCAAGAAACGAGTACCAATGTATTAGTGTCTGACCGCATGGTCTTTTGACTAGGCTTATCTCCCCGTGGGGCCGAATAAATTAATTAAATACATAATAAATAATAAGCCCAACATGACTAAACTGACACTCACAAGCAGCAGATGCAGGTAGTGGGGTACAGTATTAAGCCTGAGAGATAAGTCACAATGTCGGGAAAGACCTCAGTAGCTCCATTCCATCCCCTGGGCATGCCAGGCCGCCATCAAGCTCCTTCAATTGAGGAGTTTGTGGATGAATGTTGCCTCCATAATGACTGAGTCTGACTAAGACTCACTGTGAACTGTCCCTCTACAGTGATCCCTCGGTTAACGAGCGCCTCGGTTAACGAGATTTCGGTTAACGATTTACCTTCCATAAGATTCTTAACTTCGGTTAACGAGCAATCCCGCGAATAACAAGTTTTTTACAAGCCGACTTCAACATGTTTTCGCTTGCATTTGGCGGTCCACCAGCTGTAGTATTAGTCCGCCAATACAGCAATCGCTTTTAGGGCTTATATTCCTTACTATTTTAGTAAATATCAAGAAGTTTATACTTTTCAATAATTTTAAAAGTTTAATATTAATTTTTTTTAGTCATTTTAACAATTATTGAACATAATTGAAGGTAAAGAAACTAGTTTCTGGCACGCCATCCAGCCTGTTAGCACACAAACAGGTGTTAGTCTCTCTCTCTCTCTTTTTAGTGGAGGTAACATATTGCTTGAGACTCTCTTCAACTAAATGCTTTTTTTCTGTGTTTCCAAGCAAATTATTGGCCATTTTGAAATTTATTTTACATATTGACAATATATAATGCGGTGCAGTGCTGATTTAAAGAAAATAATCTTGAATTACACCAAGAGAACTAAAATTTTATGGGTGAAATAGCACCATGGGGTGACTTCTCTTCCACCCCAATGCCTTCTCTTCTCCCTTCTCCTCCACCCCCATTCTAATATTCCCATCATCATCACCACCACCCAGGAGCCTTCTACATACACACCTCAAAGTAAGTGTACTTTTCTACCGTTTTTGTTGAATTTAGGCAATTTTCGGTGAGCTGGAACCAATTACCCAAAAACCCATTGAAACAATGGTTTCGGTTAACAAGCAACCTGCTGGAACGGATTGTGCTCGTTAACCGAGGGACCACTGTATTGGGATGTGGCTGTGGTGACATCACTTGTTAATTCTAATTGCTGAGAGGCTGAATTTTTCGCACTATGCAACATCTGGCGAGTGCTGGGAAGGAAGGGGGCAGTGGTACTTGGTTATTTAAGCAGAATTTTAAATACACTCAGTCTCACACATATGTATAAATACAGGCTTTATATCTAAGAAGGAATTATGTAAAGCATATTAGAATCACAGCCTCTTTGAAATTCATTTTGGGTACAGGTACGTATATGTAAAGAGCAACTGATGTCTTACGGGAAGACCAAGCCCCTGAAGGAAAGGTGGTGGAGAAGAGATGGGATTCGATGGGGGAAGGGGATAAGAGGGTAGGTGGGGAGGGTGGTCAAGGTGCTAATGGACACGATAAGGTCAAGAGGAAAGTCCGCTGTCATGGCCACTGCCACCTGACCTAACCTGATGTCACCTAACCTCACGAGACTTCTAGGTATGTGTCTGCGTGGTGTATCTCCACGCACACACCGTACCCTTCACAGCTCCACCTACCATACCGTCGACCTACAACTCTTTTACGATGGTTAATAATTAATTAATTACAAATATATTATTAGTCTGCCACAGATATTAAAACTCTTTGTTTGGGGCATGTAACCAGTAACAATTTATGTATTTTCAATTGTAGTGCAGTAAAAGTATTAGAAAACCATACTTAAGTAAAAGTACTACAGTACACTGTACAAAATTTGAGAACTATACTTTTTAAAAATACCCCAAAATATTACTTGAGTGCAGTACTCAGGAAAGTTTATTTAGTTACTTTACAATACTGGATATAGATTTAAGTGCCTATTCAAAGAGTAGAACGTCTATAAATCAGACTAATTGGGGCAGACCCCAGTCCGAAAAAAGTGAGTAAATTGGGACGGGGCAGGGAGGGGGGTGTTGGAGTTAACACTGCATATCTAAACTGTTTAAAGAAAATCAGTTATTGTTATATTCTTACTGCACTTCAACAACTAAGGTCTTTAAGTGTATAAACAGAACTCTCTGGGTTAAGAATCAGACATAAGTCTGGTTGTCAACAACTCTGTTGTCACTGAGATGATTGTTATTTGCTGTAAAGTGTTATATGTAAGTCACCACAGAATTTGTCTTATAAATAAAGAGAAAACTGTATACTGTACAGTACTATAAAGATAAAAATAAGAACAAATAAGTGTAGGAGTACATTGTATGTGGAAGACCAATGTTTATCTGTGACTGCATGGAGGCAAATTAAAAGATCGGCTGTTGAGGAACTTCTCACTTGGCAACACTGGTGCATGTTACACTCCTTTCCACTCCATCTCTTTAATCATCCACACCTTTCTGCTTTCTCATTCCATATTTTAAATGTTAAGTAATGTAATGTTGAAGGGATACAACTTCACTCATTTATACTTAAACTTATCACAATCTCCCCAAAAATACTTTACTTTCGTGTTTATTCAAGACCTCTCCAGGTCATGAAACCCACTAATCCCCCACCCAAGAAAGGGTGACCTGATATTCCATCAGGTCAGTAATATGAAACCACTAATCCCCCACTCTACCTCCACTTGACATTGAGTCAGGTCAGGTCGCCCCCGCCCCCCAAAAAAATTAATAATAATAATTAACTATCATCTTTATTCATGACATTTTCAGAAAATTATCTCGATTTTCAACTTCAGAAAATTTGCTCCTAAATCCGGAAATTTTGTGAAAATTCTGCCCTTGGGAACGATTTTCCAAGCAAATTTCATTTCCGGCTATTGGACATCTCTGGGTTTGAGGGATTCCGGGTAACGGAGATATTAGTGTACTGTATATACTGTACCATACTGTTAGGATGGTTTGAAATGCATCAAATAAGTAATTTGAATTTCCATAGAACAATAAACATTTTGTTGCAATTTGATGCATTTCAAACCACCTTAATACAGCTACTCCTCGACTTAAGACATATTCGACCTACGACCATTCGGACATACGACTGCCTCAATCGTTCCAAAATTTTGTCAAATTACGTATTTTCGAGTCCCAAAGTAAGTGATTGCGCTGTGTACTGACAAAATTTGTGTTTGTAATTCACTTAAAATGGCTGGCAAGCTTAAAAGTGAGAGTTCTGTGGTGCTGAGGAGAAAAAGAGACACCCATTCTAGATTTTCTATGTATTATTTAAGCATTTTCGACTTACGACCAATTCGGCTTAAGACCTGGATTTGGGTCCCTAACCCTGTCGTAAGTCGAGGAGCAGCTGTATATACAGTAAAGTCCCATTAGCCGGAATAATTGGTGCAGAGCTCTTCTCGGCACCATTGATTTCTGAGTAGGAAGACAACTCTCTCAAACACGTAAAAATCCCACATCCCCAGAATTTTTCCGGGTACACCAATTCCCCCATTAACATCATTTCAGTGAACATCGTTTCATTATGTCATTGAAAAAAAAAAAAATTTGAATGAAAAATAATAAATGTACGACATTTTAAAAAATTCGGTACGAAGGCGTTCAGGCCTGACTGTGATAACAGCTGGCTGTGTTAGCGACCAGCTGGGGTGCCATATTTGTTTGTTATTGTTCAGTGGTTGGTAGATGCCCTACCAACATTCACTTTACCCTTAGGCCCCGGGTGACATTCCAGACCGTCCGACGGGCGCACCCCGGGTGACGTTCC